GAGAGAGAGAGGGGGAGAGAGAGAGAGAGAGAGAGAGAGAGAGAGAGAGAGAGAGAGAGAGAGAGAGAGAAAGAGAGAGAAGTCGGCTGGAGGTGATTGCCCTTCTCGGATTAGAAGTTACGCGGGATCAACGACGACAACGTGATGATGCGCGAAGAGGAGGCCGGGGCGTTTTCGAAAATTACCCAAGTGTAGAGCGCTTATGTACATAGCACAGGACATTTTCGCGATATTACATCAGGCGCGCAGAGAAGGAATATCATCGCGCGACACGCGTCCGGAATGCATCTTCCCGCGATATATTCTATCAACAATCGCAACAATAACAGAGACCCGTCGTGTACGTGTACACATACATTAGCTCGTTCTCCATTGTGTGTCCATCGACTGTTCTCCCGCGTTTCGCAGCGACGGTTTCGCAAGAGACCCTCTAACTCCAATTACGTGTCTTTGAAATAACGCGAATTTACGTGAATTTAAATCCGACGTGGACGCGTCAGACGTGTGTCTTCATGCTAATGAGTTCATTGAAAAGAGGTACGGAGCGTAGCTCGGGAGTCACTAATGGAACGTTGACCGACCAAAAAGTTAGACCGATCGGGAATCACGGCGAGAGACGTGTAGGATGTCGAGCGAGATACGGGCAGATTTAAAGGTCTGTTTTCATTGCTATTCCGAATCGTGCGGGCTTCCGCACGGCTTCCGCGCGGCTTCCGCTGTCCTGTACGGAGGCATCGGCCTGATTGGTAAATCTACGGCTGCCCAATGGTGCGTTTATTTGTCGGAGAATTAGGACAGCGCGCGAGACAGAGCGACGGGGATAGGTGAACGTCCACGAGAGAGGGAGGGCCGCGTTGCGGGGGTGCAAAGTGGGCACGAGAGCGGGGTGAATGAAACGGAGGGACGGGTGAGGAGGGGGGAGGGGGAGGAAGGTCGAAGGGGCCTCGGGAGGAAGGGTCGGTCCACCCGCCTCTCGAGGACCGCGCCGCGTCGTACAGCGCTCCGCCGCAATCAGTAAACCTGTAAAACATTGGATTAGGTGGCCTAACCTGACCTTACCCCGGCTCTCTCTCCGCTGGACGAGCGCAGTTCCAATTTCCCAGCTATGGCTCGCGAGGAGAGAGCGCGCGCGGCTATACGCGCTTCGTTCTCCAGCGTCGCGATACGTTATCCAATAGCGCTCGAATTATTCTCGTTTTATTCTCCGGGCCAGCATCCGCGACCACGACGTGGCCGCGCATCCTGCGCTTCCCGTATCGTAACCGGTTAGCCCGGTAGTACGTTCCGCGAGGGAACGATTTATTCCCCTACGTTTCTTCTTTCCCCCTTGCCTGCCTCTCTTCCTCTCTCCCCCCTCTCTATCTCCCTCTCTCTCACCCTCGCGCGCGCGCTCGCTCGCTCGCTCGCTCGCGCCTCGCTCACTCCTCTCTCCATCCTTTTTGTCTCCCCAGTTAACAAATTCTTCGCTTTTGTCGCGCGATAAATTTGATTTATTATTATCGTTATTGCGCTTGTTATTCCGCTCCGATGTAAAATCTTGCCCGCGTAATTCCCGGCCCGCGGGACACACCGACCGCGTGTGCCGCGTCAACAGCGACGTGTCATTATCAATTTATCACTGTCGCCGTCGTTTATTCTCTTTAGATAATCAGCCGCGAAATAGCGACGAGCCGACCGCCGGGCCGTGTCATCGCTCGCTGCTCACTGACTTGGCTGAAACCGAGAAGGCACAGAGCAGCCCTTCTCGCTTCCAAAATGCCTGGAAAGCGTCGTTATTTAGAGTCGTCTTTTCAACCCGGGGATGTTTGCCCGCTTGTTACCGGTGGCGAGCCTCCGCTACTTGCCGAGTCCCCCCTCCTCCCATCGAACCGGTTAGTAGCCACTCGACGATGTTTTCATCCGAAATTGTCATGTGGCGCACACAAGCTCTCTCTCTCCGAAGAATAAAAAAAAAAAAAGAAGAAAGGAGGAGGAAAGAAGGAAGAGGAAAAGAGGGAGAGAAAAGGGTATCATCGGGGAGAAAAGGCGCGCTGAAGAGGGATGGTCGCGCGAGTCGGCGTGGTCGCGAGAGAAAGACAGAGAGCGTGTCGATGTGCCGGGGGTTGTTTTGGTGGTGGTGGCGATGGTGGTGGTGGGAGCTAGCCCCCGGTGCGCTCGCGCACCCGATCGTACACCCCCGAGTCGGTGCGCGCGCGAAGTCCGTCGCTGGAGAACCGTGGCCGGAATGGCGTCGGCGCTGGTATGAGTGCTCCGCCACGCGCACCCACACCCGCGCCCGCACCCACACCCACGCCCGCACACACGCGCGAGCACACAGTCGCGCGTACGCCGCACGTGTATACGGTCGGTCGCGAGAGAGAGAGAGAGTGGGGGTCGGGATGTCGGAGGGTTGCTGAAGTTTCTCTAACGCTCGATGGCGTACCAGTGCGGATCGTGATTCTGCGGGACGCGCAGCGTCGCGGCGCCCACCGTGTCTTTCCCGTGTCCTACCGCGCGTCCGTCAGTCCGTCCGTCCGTCCGTTCGTCAGTCAACGATCCCTCACGGCGCGAACGTCGCGCGGGGCTCCGAGTGCGACGAAGGCTGCAGGA